AATATCCCATCTCACTCTCCTCTTGTTGAAGCCGTTCCCCTTGTCCTGACACCACATTGTTGTAAATAATCTCTCTCTGTGAGGGATTGCTGTCTTCTCTCCAAACATTACCCTCACCTTCACATTCGTCTTTGCCCACTTATTCCCTTCCAGAGATGCTGCCTTCTTCCCGACATTTCCCTCTCTTTTCCTTCCATTTCCCCAGGATGTGAGAAATACGGAATGCACATTTTGTTTCGTGTTTCAGAAGCTGGGCAAAATACTGTCAGTAGAACACATATGAAAACTTCATGAGTTAATGTGTCCTTGGATAGCATAAGCTGCTTTGATTTAGACTGCAATTTGCTGCTTTTCCTTCTGGGATTACTGAGGAGTTTTCAGTTGCTGCAGTGATTGTTCTCTTTTGCTCAGTAATTTACTTGCATTTCAGGTTGCACACAGGCTTCCACATTCTGAAATGAAAATGTCTTCAGAAGTCAAGAACAAGAAATATTTTTAGCTTGTCATGTTAAATTTCAATTAATCACCTCTGCCACCTTTTCCAGCATCAAAGGTTTGCAACACACCCTTGCAAACATCAGGCAGTGAATATAAGCCTTAAATACATGACAAATGATTAAGCTTTTGAAAACATTGAAGACAGGCTTTTGTTAGGGTTCTTAATGCTTTGGTAGCAGTCTTGGTACACAGGCAATTTTTCTGCCATTGTTTTTTATCTCTGGTTTCCATTCTCATCAATACTGATGCCTGTAATTTTCTTTTTAACTTACTGTCAGTGTCCTGGCTTGAATAGTTAAACCAGGACTGCAATAAATCAGTGAAAAATCAGGAAATAGCACCTAGCAAGATCATGGCACAACCAGGTTTTAAAATGGCAACTTTACAGTGCAATATTATAAATTATTTTTATGTTTAGTAAGGAAAGCTTAGGGAAGGGCAGACCATGGGCAGGTATCTACTGGCACACCACACACACAGGACAGTTTGGTGTCACCTTGAAGCATTGACTCACTTCTTCTCAAGTGAGCAAAATATTAAGGCAGAAGATCTAAACAGCAAGGATCAAGCAGGTCAGAAACGTGGACAAGCAAGCACTTAGACTGCCAGCAGCAGCACCAGGGTGAACAATGCGTGTTTGAGTGTCTGCTTTTTTCTTTAAAAAATCAGAATGTAAGTATCAGATCTGTAATACAAGCAGCATTTTATTTTCCCAGAAAAAATTTTCAGAATTTTTCAGAAAAATTGGAATGATTTACCTGTTGGCTCGCCCTGCTGATGAGAGGGTGGGATATCAAAAGCACTGCTGGCACTTGCATCTTTTCCCCAGAGTGAGCTTTGCCTCCCGGACAGTCAAAGCTGGCTGAATTTACGAGGAGCTGAAGGCAGGAGCTGGCAGTGGAATTGCCAGGTGACATTCCCTGGGGCAGCAGCTCCTCTGCCTCTGTGGGAATCCTTGTTCCTCACGGGGCTGTTTGGGGCATCAACACTAATGGACCTCGCTGGTCTTAAAAACAGTATTTCTCTTACAGGGCATGTATTATTTGGGCTAATTTTTTTTTTTTTTTTTTTTTTTTT